CCAGTTCTTCTTGCTGGTGGGTGAACACTGCACTCAGCACCGCGAGGTACTGAGCGGGGGATACTGCATTCATATGCGTAGTGTCCCAGTTTATGACAGTGATGGCATCTCACCATTCGCTTGTCATTCGCAGAGCGAGGTTTCTCGCCCTCGACATTACAGAGGTCCATTGGTTCTGGACCTCCGACTGCTAATCGTCTCTGTGGACGATGCGGGGTCAACGTAGCGTGAGACTGTCTAACGCTATAATCTTCTTGCTCCGCTGCGAAGATTGCCTCTGAGAGCGTCTTTAGCTCTCCGCGGAACAGGTGGTCCCTAACGGGACCGTCAGAAAGCCCTTGAATAAAGATTGTGATCAACACAAACTCACTCACAGGGTTCACTACCATGCAGCTTGCAAGGTAGCGTACATGTTGGGCGTAAGCGTGAACCTTACGCTTACCCTGCTTGATTTGCAGGAGCTCCGAAAGAGTCCTGAACTCTGCTCTGGGCGGTTCAAACGTCTCACTGAGCAGGGTCTTGAAGATCCTCAACGACCCAAACACATGTGGGTCGTGCAACTTGAGGTTCAGGGCCCAAGCTCTGGCTTCTCCTGCCAGGTTAGACTGAGCGAATGAGACTTGCATTCGCTCATCATCGATGCGACGAGCATCGATGGCATCGTCCAGCTCGACGAACCACCTCAACAGGGAGTCTTCCTCGATTCCCCGATACTTGGAGACCACTAGTTTTAGAGACTCTCGTCAACGCTCACGCGTTGGCTCTGCGGACTGATACTGTTGTTGTCTCAGTGCTTCGGTCCGCTGGTGATCTTGTTGTTGCAACAAGGTCACCTGCGCTCGCGACTCATCAAGTTCTCGTTGCAAGAACTTGCTAATGACGACATGTTGCTGGTCCCTATCCCTTGAGGATAGCATGGCCCAGATGGCTTCCACGCCAACGGTCGAACGCATTCGTTCGATCGCACTCCATTCGATGTCGCTCAAATGGGAGTAGCTTCCACGGGTTCCGTGGAAGCTGTCGCCGTCTACATCGTCCAACATGTTCATGTTGGGCGATGGGGTTGTGGTCCTTGGACGGACTACAAAGTGCTACCAGGTGTAACGGGGCACTGTTGACTACGTACTGGTTGACCAGTACGGAGTATACTTCCACTGACGACAGTGGTCGATCAGTGCCCTGCTAGGTGTTTTGAGGAACTACACAGAGGAAGGAAAGGAGACTAAGTAGTCAGACTCTAGTCTCTTGGTAAAAGTAAAACTGACATTAATATAATTAAGTCCTATAACTCCTTGAATCTCTGTTGTCCTGACTTAATGATACTAATATAACTATATGTATGATGACGTCTACTCACCACCCATTGCGCGCGTCTAGCAGCGATTGGTGGGTTGATATCATCCCAATATCAACCAATGAGTAGACCCTTCGGTCATCCCAACAATATCACTATACTTGGTGATATTGTGAAAAGAATATTCAACGTAATATTCTTTGTTGTCATTGTCTTCGTAATAACAATGTGATGTAACGGGCTACCCCGTTACACAGATCATATTGGCATTTGTGGAAACGTCAACAACATGAAATATCACCCCTGGTATGCCATCAACTCGGTTTTTTCTGCTCATGTTTCGATGAAGTACCTTTCGAGTGCAACATTGACCACGGACTAGACTGAGTCATTCTATGCCGAGCAAAGACGGTGTGTTTGTGGCGTGTGTTGCAGCGATTGTGTCGCTCTCAAGTATGGATGCAGAATGCTTCCGTAAAAGCATGCGCCACAAAGTGCGCGTTCAACGCGCGACACCGGGTCGATGGTGCATACCTTTGGACAATCAATACGACTATAGCGACGTGCGTACTACCAAGTAAACATATTGCTGGTACAGCAGCATGGCATTCGTGCCGACCTGCCTGAGATGAGGTCGTTTACTAGTCATGAGCAGCAACGCAGACTCGACGAACCACAGCATCGAAACTAGGATGCTATTCGACCCAGTGGTGCAGGCAACAGCATGTTCATTGTTGATGTCATGGTTCTGCTTGAGATTCGGGTCGAACGATCTCCTGTCACTTGGACTACAGTGCTGTTCGATCGAATAGAACTCGAGAACCCGTTCGCAAAAGATGCGCTTATCTATGTGGCTACGAACTTACGAGACAACGTCTCTACTGCAGTGCTCGCCAATCGCCTCGATGGACGTCGTGTGATTGTTCCTCGATGTTTCTTCGGGTGCCTGCGCTACTGGCGCAGTCTTTCGCACTTGTGAACTCGGTGGCGTCAGGTGCTGCAGCCGTTGTTTTTGCGAACAAGCGGGCTCAATGCTTTTAGCATACCTCGATGGAGTGCAATAACTTGACGCCGGCTGACTTTTTCTCGACGGACACTCGCACGACTCGCATAGGAGCACTGTCGGTATCTAGCAGAGCAATATTTGTTGCATTACAATGTGTCACCGGACGCCTTGTCGAACCGGCTACCAACGTGTGGATACTGGTGCCATTACGGCCAACACGATAATTCTAGGGACTGCGGACTCTGGTCTCGTGCGCACCCCAAATCACAAGCCGCTTCTTGGATACGTGAACGAGTTACAAACAAGAAGAGCTTACATTGGCTGAGAGCGCTGTCCTTGAGCAATGTTCAGTACGGGCAACTTGCGTGAGTGCGAATTGGCAGTGGCTCACCGTGTCGCGCTCGCTGTGGTCAGGAGAAGCCACTTGGCGACATCTGGAGAGATGCTCGAAAAGTGAGGGAAAAAGAGGTGTACTGCATGAGTTTATGGACGGAGTTTTACAAGCGATCTGACCAGTGCTTCGTTGCGACTAGTGCCGGACATATCACGCGCATACGAATGCCGTCGTGAGGGGGGGTGCATCGTTTTGTCGTTCGCTTGTTCTTTTACACCGAAGTCGTTGTAGGACTCTTTGTTGTGATTGACGACACACTCGATGCAATACAGGACCGATCGGATCATAAACTTCGTTTAGATCTGTCAGCGAGCGACAAGCTGTTAGCCGACACGCAATGTTTTATATCTGTGGCAACGCGCTCGAGGCGAGGAAGTCCGAGGTTCCGAGAAAGCAAGTCAAAGTGCAAGGTCGCACGTTGCCATTAGTGACGCGTAAAGCCTGGCTACAGTAGAACGATTAACACAATCGAATCATCAGCCTCCGTGTCGCGAGGTGTGTCGCTAAGCAGCTAGATCGACTGAGATCGGTGTCAGAAAGCCAAGAGGCCCGATAGAAACCTTGAGGCCATGCATTCTACGCTCTGTGTCTCTATTCTGCTCTTCACACTGAACAAGGTCGTCTCGTGTCGATGTAGCATTATAGGTCCGAGTTACTGTTTTACGCATCCTTCCTACTCGTTCACTACCCTTTTCTAATTGTCTTCGCCAGCATGCCGGCTTTATATCCGGATAGAAATGCCTTGACGGTCTAGCAGATGCCATTGACGAACAGGCGATTAGACCACCTGACCGCCTCGTGAGGGTCGAACGGTCTGTTCGAGTTCAGCTGTGCCAACGTGTTTACGCATTTTTCTCCAGCGTTTCCTCAGCTGTCAGCGTTTGTCTGAACCGTATCAGTCTCCTCAGCGTCTAAACCCCACTCAATGCCAGCACCATATGCCCCGCACTTCTCAGCCAAACACTTGGCCACGACTCGACCGGTGTGTCAACTCTACACCACGTACGGGCATCTATGGGTGCAGTGATGGATTACCCGTTCTTCCTCGCATGGCTGGTCCATACAACGCACGCGGTGCGTGTACTTTGAAGGGCAACAGTCACACGGCGACGTCGTCCGTGCGACTTTATCATCGCTGCCAACGAAGCACGGACAGAACGGCACCGCCAGCCACGTTGCTGTCGCCGTGTCGTGCTTGAAGATTGGACGCGATGCGAGCGGGCAGAGGCGCGCGCCATTCATTGCAAGATGTAGCAACGTGGAAGGCCTCGCCACGACCGCCACGTCGAGCAGTGTCGGAAAGAAGTGGTGGGATCGGACAGGACCGCTGTTCCAATATCGTAGACGTTGTGGCGTACGGTGCGTTATGTGAGAGAGCCACACGCGAGCAACTCAGACGAGCACACATCATCATATCTGTCGAGGTGAGGATGGTGCGGCCTCATCGGTTGACGATCGTCGCAGTCGTAGTCAGAGTCGAAGCTGTACGTAACGCGAGAGCCACTACAATAGAGACTCGGCGGCCACCGACGTGACAACGGCCAGTGCAGACACACACACACACACTCATTGGCCCGTGACATAATCACATTTCTCAGATCGCGCGCTGGCGCTCTGTGGATAGCCTAAGCAGTTCGTTGTCAGCCGGTCGGTCCCATCGCCAGACTGGGCGTCTGGATGGATCCTTCAGCCGTCGGCCAAATTTTAGCCTCCGCATACGTACATGGCCAGGGACGACGGCCAATCCCCCGCCCGACCTGCCCAAGCGTTCAGGACCAGCACCGTCAGCTTTGGGCGAGCAGCGACCAAAGCAGAGGCAGTCGCTGCCCATCGCACGAAGGCGATCGCGTGGGGGAAGAAAGGTGCCCACCATCTTCGGCCTTTCTGCAGAACAGCCAGACAGACAGACAGGCCACTCGCCCGACAGAAAGGCAGACTGCTCGATAGCCAGCAATGGCACTTGGGTTGCCCTGGTCCGAGTCCATTCTATGTGCCGTGCCACCGAGACGAGACGCGGGCGAGTCAACAAGTCCACCGCCGCCCCATTTCCCCACTGTGCCCCGCCGCCGTTGCCAGTGTGTCGCCCCCCCCCCCGTCGACGGTCGTCGCCCGCCAAGTCCCGACAGCAGCTGCTACTACCACTTCCACTGCTAGTGCTAGTGCTACTGCTACGGCTACGGCTACTGCACTCGTGTCCGGACGAGTCGTCTGCCCCACAACTCTCTCGTCTCTCTCGTCTTTTCTGGTTGAAAACGTCGGCGCTGTTCTTCGTCATTTGCTCTTTTCCGTCCGTCCATCCGACCGCAATGCCACGTGCGGTGCGTCGACAACCGGCCGCGTCGACTCCGACGCTACTGCCGCCAATGCATATGGCAGTCAGTGACCACGAGTCGTCCCCACGGAGTCTCAGTCGAGACGACGAGGAACTTTGCGGGCCAAACACGGACAGCAGCAGTCAGTCCGTGTGGCTCACGTCGCCCTTGGGGCACGCCGCGATGCCCGCTCGGCCGTCGCGGTTCTCCATGCCGAAGCGCCGGGCGTCGTCGCTGAGCGACCTGTTCCCGCGCACGAGAAGCGCTGCCGCTTCACCGGCGAAAGCGCTGGTGAGTGCATTCCACACCGTCTCGCACAAGACGCATCAGAAGTTGGCCACTTTTCGGTCGCACTCGAACGGGTTTATCAAGAAGACAGTGGCCGAAGTGGATCCGAAGACAAAGACGAAGACGAGTGAGGAGAATGAGAATGAGGTTCGGAACCCCACGACGACGACGACGACGACGACGACGGACGGCAGCTCGTGGCGGCGGATGGCGACTGAAGGTCAACAACTCGATCCGACGCGCGACGCCCGTGACCGGCACGCATCGGTTTAAGTGGGGCGATCAGCATGAACTGCAACATGCACAACGGACGTTCGAGTACCACGGCGAAGATGCTGGCGCGGTGTCGAGCTACTTCCACATTGTTGCCGACGGCGTGTCGTCTCCGTTTGGTCGCCACTCGCTTGTTGCGTACGACGGTGTGCTCGTGTCGTCTGCAGTGCTGTCGACAGAGGTGGTCAAGTGTGTGCGCGTGGTGCTGGAAGAGATGACGAACCATAATCGGGAACAGCTGGACGAAGCCGCGTTCGAAGGAGCGATCGTGGACGCCATTCGGACAGCTCGGATCAACTGTTTCCATCATCGCAAATCACGCGTCGCGACGACGCTGGCCGTGTCGTACTTCAATCGATGGACCGGCAAGTTGTTGACGTTTTCGCTCGGTGATTCCAAGTGCCTCGTGGTCCGACGGGGCGCAGTGGTGTACGAGACACTAGCGGTGCTGCGTGAATTCAATGTGCCGACGGTCGTCAACTTGCGCGAACAAGTCGTGCCGAAAGACTATGTCGTGCAGAGCTTTGCCCTGCAAGAGGGGGACGTCTGTCTGACGTTCTCCGATGGCTTGGGGGACAACTTGTACAAGGACGACATCACGGCAACTCTCGCGGCGCCGGAGCTATGGGACTCGGAAGTGTCGGGATTGCAAAGCGTGTGCGATCGACTGGTCGACATGTCCAAGATGGACGAAGAGAATCTGTCGCGTACAGACCGTCGTAGCGACACCGATCGTGTGCTGTATCCGTTCGCGACGGCAGCGGTCACCGAGTACCGGAAGCGCACGCTCGAGGAGTCGAAACTTGCAGGGGACGGACTGCTGGATAGTAGTGGAATCGACCACATGGCGCTGTCGCTCGAGCTGATGAAGAAACACGACGGCAAGCAAACTTTGGACCGACATTTGCTGCTGCGGGGACCGTCGCGGAAGCATCACTACTCGCTCTTGCAATTGCGACTCATGTCGCAGATGCAGACAAAGAAGCCGGACGATATCACGCTCTTCATGACGCGATTCGTGTAAACGGAATGAATGGGCAAGCGACAGGACGGCCTCAGTGACTCCATTTCCTCCCCGTTACTGCTACCGGTCTTGCTTTCGCCCACGTCTCACATGTCGGCGATTGGGTTTGCGTGCAAGGTAACGGACTTGATCACTATCTCTTTGAGCGGACGATTCTTGGCGTCTACAGGTGTCTTTTCCATGGCGTCCAGAGTATCCATGCCGTCAATGACCCTGCCGAAGAATCCGCACCGAAGAGTAGTTAGTATTTATTAATCAAACAGTAAATAGCAGCAGCTGTAGATGAGTGAGGCTGTCGCTGGAGATGCACGCGTGCACACTTTCGGAGACATACAATCTCATACGAAGCATTCAAGTCTGGGTTTTGTTGCTTTTCCACGTACTTGCCAAAGATCGTGTAGACGTTGTTGAGATGGGCCTGCTTGGCGTACGTGATGAAGAACTGCTGCTTGTTCGTATTGGGACCGCTGTTGGCCATCGATACAATGCCTCGACAGTTGTGCTGCTCACATTCAAGAAAAAAGATGGAAAACCAAACGTTTAGCTCCCAGAGAGGTCAACACATGTATATATCGATGCGTCATCAATGTCGTACTCTGTTTTGCGGATGGAATTCATCATCGAAAGCTCCGCCCCAAATGCTTTGGCCCCCTTTGCCTGTCCCGGTCGGATCTCCTCCTTGTACCATAAAGCCCTTCATATTTCTGTATGCGTAGAAAACAACGTCTCATCAACATGGACGTGGGTCGTCGCGGAAATAGACAACAGAGAAGATGATGCAAAAAAGTGACTCACCGGTGAAATGTCGTGTTGTCGTACGCGCCACTTGCGCAGAGCGCCAAGAAATTCTACAGAAACAGTTTAGAAACGGATAGAAACGACAGTTGTCACGATGATGACGTCAACGAAGGAGGAGGAGGAGGAGCTTGTTAACAAGTCGCATTTCGACCAACAAAAGTCGTACTTCGGCTGTACGAGGCGCAGTGTCGCAGCAAACTTCGATCTTGAGGTCGCCGAGCGTCGTGTGCAGCGTAACCGACTAGAAGCAACGCAGATTGAGCGACGATGGCCGCCGAAAGGTTACATCAGCACTACTGGCAGCAAGCGACAGACGTACGTACCATGGTCGATGGCTGCGATGTTCAGCGTGATATCGACCAATCAGCACGAAACGATGTGTAAATTGGTGCGGCAAATACGACTCGCATAACTACTGTTCTTGACCACGTGATGGCGGTATAAGTTGATCTTAAACCGGAAGACATAGCATAAGTGCGACGTACTCGCCGCAAAAGCAGACACGACAATGTCGATAGTTGACTCGCAAAACATACAAACCGCCGTCGATGCAATGCACTATCGCTGTACCTTGCGGTCTTCTACGCGCAAAACGGCTTGCAATCGACCGTTGCTGTCAGTGAAAGGCCAGCGACGCCTGCATTTCAGTGTTTGTCATGTGTGAACATCTAGACTCCTACTTGGGAGCTTTTCGCTCCAACTTCCATGTCGAGTGGGCGCAAGTGCTCGACCTCATGGTACCCAGTCATGACCAGACCGACATGTTAGCCATATGTCGGACCGGCTTCAATGCACAGACGTGTCTTTGTCATTGCTCACAAGTAGATGACTGCGTGAGATCCTGTTCACGTGCTGAAATCGTCGTCATCGAATGTGTGTGCATTGGCCTGCACTATATCGATGAATACGAGTGACGAACACACACTTGTGCGTGCAATCAAGTGCTCACATGCGTCAGGCAACTCGCGCGCTCGTGGGATCGTAGGAGCGAAACAGACTGTGGATTGTGGCGGCCTGAGCACGTGGAACATCATGCACCGACTCACGGATGGCCGGCGGCGATCCGCTTTCATGACTTTTTAGCGATGGAGCATGAGTCGTAGCTTCGCATTAGGCTTGTGCTCTTTGCGAAAGCAGCTACGTATTCATCGCGAAGGCTAAGAAAGTAGATCCACGTCCATTTGAGTACACGTGAAAGAGACCACGCGTACCTCCAGCCTTGCACATCAGCGCTTATGTATACCAATCTCCTTGGAATATCACCACGCGAGGTGGATGTGCGTTGCTTTCATTTCTTTTGTGCCGGAGTTTTTCGTAGCCTTGGTCAATCTCGCATGTACGATGGCTTGGATTCGTCGAGCGACAAAATCACATCATTTTGGTTCCTGTCACAGCAAGGTCATCATGAAGATAACAGAAGACTTACAGACCTTCTGACAGCTCTCCATTGCAGACAGAGCATGTGGCATTTGCGTTTAAGAGTAAACAGCGAGTACTTCCTCGATTTCCAAGCGGCAAATTGGACACTTGGTCACTTCCTGGCGGTGGGAGCACGTCTCGCACAAGCACAAATGCCGGCAAGGCAGACACAGTATCCGCTTTTCGTTGCAGAGGCAGATCACGCAAAGCTTGAGCTCATTCTGCTCTTCGACCTGGCGATCAAGCTTCTTCTGCATTTCCAGCGCCCTTTCCTCCTTGATAGAGCGCACTTGGCTCAATGTGCTCTCTAGCTGTTGCTCCCACTCCTTCAGCTCCTGAAACTTGCAATTTGCAAGCGAGACCGAGCGTAGAGAAGAAAGTGCTGCTTGCATACTATCTGTGGAGCTCAAAGCTGTGCCCGAGGGATTATCACGTGTGCATGCCGCTGTAAAATGTTCACGGTCCGGGATCTGTGCACAAAGAGACTGCTCTTGCCGGGTGACAAGTGTTCGCAACGAAACCAATTCCTTCATCATAGAGTCGTAGCGCCGCTTGTGGTCTTCGTGCCCGTAAAGTTGCGTCTGCAGCAAGTCGTTTTCGTAAAGCAAACCGTCACGATCCCGCTCTACACGGTCAGCCAGCAAATGCAGCTTTTGATTGTTGCGGCTCAGCTGGACTATGCGAATGCGTGCTAGAGAGATCTGCTCTTGCATGTCACGATTGCAGACGATCAAGTCTTCGCAGTATCTTCGCCATGGCTTTCCCGTGCCGTCATTGGCGTCAAGGATACTATCAGAGTGTTCTATAGTGTCACAGTCTGCATAAGGTTCGTGTTCCATGGCGGACGACGTTGACGCTAAACTTGATGAAGCCTCCAGCGCTTCGTCAAACGACAATGAAACTCGCGTTTGTGAGCACGCCAAGTTATCGTCGTCGTATTCGTCAACAAGCGATTGGCTCATCAGGTTGCCTTCGTCTCGACGTTGCAATGTAAGCACACTGTTGTTGGCACCAACTTCTCTCATCTCATCGTCATCCTCATCATGCCTCTGCTGTTGCATCCTATATCCAGCATCCACAATAGTATCGTCCCAGCCGAGCTGTATCGCATGATCTAGCTGAATATGTCCCTCTTGAGCTTCGCTATCAACGCTGCCTGATGATAGGTCCAGCACTGGGGATACGTTAAACTGTGCATACTCTGTTGGATGACCTATCAACAGCTCACCCGTGTCGCGACTATCGTCATCGCTGTCAGTAAGATATTGCTGCTGGACTATATCAATACTGAACCGAGAATGATGATGCTCGAGCGTGTGAGGACATCCAGAAGCAGTGTCCGTGACAGACCTAGAGTGAAGAACACCTGAAAGCAAACGAGGAGGCGATGCCTCGTCCTCATTCATCATAGGTGCTAGTCTGCGCTTTGCAGCAGAGACTTTTGCTTCGTATCGTCGAAACAAGTTCCCCCTGATCCTGCAAGATGGCCCTTTCCCCCATGTCAGACCATCCACAGCTACTGCGCATCTCTGTGCAATAACTGGATCATCAAACTCTAGAAACGCATGCCCTTTTGTACGCCCCGTGGAGCGTGCTGATGGAATGGCCACTTGAATAGGGTCATCAATCATGCAAAACAGACTGCAGGACAGTAGTTTCATCAACTCGTCCGTGCGGTCCATTGGCACCTTCGGTAGGTTTATCAACACGCAGACGCTGTTGAAGCACGTCCCAGGGCGCGCATTTCCAAACTCAAATTGCGCCATATCGAAGACGGGCCACTTAAATGGAAGAAACGAGATCTGTTCTGGATCAGTAACCTGATTGGCGTCCGTGGTGTCATACGGTTCGTGACTGTCAAAACTTACATCACATGGTGCCCATTGTCGTCTGTCATCATTGCCATCGCTCCTGACATCGACATGTGCATCGCACACCATCTTCACCAGCGACATGAAGATGTCGGCGTACTCCAACTCAAAGTCGGAGCCATACTGATCAATCTCGAAAACGCCTGTCTCTAGTGCCACTCGCGTGACATCTTCGCGGAAGCCTAAGCGGATCAGGTTCGTTAATACAGCATCTTGTAAGACACTAGCTTTCGACGCGTTAAGCGCTCGAATCGATGCCCCAACAACTTCATCTTGCTCCAGCCGCAACTCATCGCTGTCACGCGCGCTTTCGTCACTTTGCCTTCCAAGAGTCACGCTCTCGCAGCCACTATCGCTACTCACATCGTGGCTTCGTCCGGCTACACCTCTTTGTTCAACTGATGCTCCAAAAAGGCACAAACGGCTGCTGCAGATCGATCCCGTTGATCGTCCAAATGCGTCAGCGCTACTTGCGTCTTCCCTGCCACCTCGTGTCATGCTATAAAGATCCATTTCCACACTGTCCGTCTTCCCGTCTTGCTCGTCTCCCCAATCAAACGCATCGTCGTCGCTACTCAAAGTGCTAGTGTCGTTCTCAACACACGCGTCTTCTGCTGGCAGCAACGTGTGCAGAGCACGAGGTGGAGAAGCACCTGGAAACAACTGCTGTCGCACGTCTGGTACAACGTCTTCTCGATGCTCCTCTTGGTCTACTGCAGACCAAAGCTGCGCTGTCCGGGCAATCAGCATTCGAATTTCACTCGCTTCGCTCTCGATTTCCTCGGCAAAGTCGTCCACAAGCGCATCGCTCGACGACTCGACAGCTTCAGCGTCTGCACAAGAATCTACAGCGTTTTCACGTCCATCTCGATCTGCTCCAGTACCAAAGCAAAGACACGCAAGTCGCAGCAAACAAAACACATGTGAGCAAACAGACCAATCACGTGCTCTCCATCACGACCTGCCGCCCCATCACTGTGTACGTGTACATAACATAACCACATGAGCACGTACGGCACGCACTCTTGGAAGCCACAACCCGTTCGTGTGCGTGCTGTCGACGCGCGCTTCGGCGTCGTGCAAGCGTCTGCTGGACACGCAGCGGGCGGCTTCGCGACTGCTGAGCAAGTCGCATGCGTGAGTCAGCGGCCAGTGGACCGGGTCCAGGAGTAACTGTAGACCCATTTGCACGAGACGAGTGTGCGACCGCATCGTCGTCGTCGCCGGTCGCTGTCTTGTCTTGATCGAGTTGTGCACCAGCAGGAGCGGCAGTAGTTGCTGCTGTTTCTTCTTCTGCTTCTGCTGGATGCTGATTGGTGGATTCAATACAAGCGCTGCCACGAGCGCGCAATTGGCAGAACAGCGACATGATAATGATGACGATGGACGCTCTCTGCTGCAGCGCGCGTTGCCTTTTTGGCCGCCAGTGCGCAAATGGGTGCCGCGCGCGCGGTGGCAAAAGGAAACGAACGTGGTGTTGGGCGTCAAAGGGTGCGGCAAACGGGTTAGACGGGGTATGTGCAGCACACGAGTGCGTCGTGTGACGAACACGAACGTCCGCCCATCCACTCGACGGTCGAGGTCTGTTTTCAGCCAATTGAGCAGCACTTTGAAACACGGTTTTAACCAATGGTCGCACGCCAAGCCAAGATTTTGACTCGATGGAGTGAGCAGAAGTCAGTCACAGTACAAAACAGAGCGCAGATAACGAACGAAGCTTCGGTGCGTGAACCCCCTCCCTCCATCTTTCAGTGTCCGCGCTGCGCACTGTCACGACCGATCGTCTGACGGATATCTGACTACCTGTATCTAGTCTCTCTCTTTGCTCGAATCAGCGGTGTACAGGTCCTTGATAGGAAGGAAATAGCGTCGATCGAGTGGAAAAGGTGCGAGACGTCGATACAAAAACTGCGCTTTGTCAGCGACAAACTGGCACTGTCGCTGGTATACGCTGCATGCACAGCTGCTGCATACCGCTCGCGTCTTGCAGCGGTGTTCATGTGGCTGCGCCGTCGCTGTTGGCTTTTCATTGGTGGAAATTGAGTATTTTTGTCGCTTACGCTGGTGTGGATTTTTGTCTAGTCAGGTGTAAAAAGGGATACAGGAGGTGCAAAAACAAGTCAACATGGAAGCTGTGGGCCAGAAACTGCTGGACTTCTCGCAGCCGTTTGACGTGGCAGCGCTGGACCAAGTGGTGCAGTGCATGAACGATCCCAAGAGCCCGCACCAACGGGTGGCCAATCAGATCATGGTGGCGCTGCAGGAGCACCAGGATGCGTGGACGCGTGCCTCGGATATCTTGGAGAAGTCGACCAGTATTCAGACCAAGTTTTTTGGGCTGCAGGTGCGGCGTGTTTTTGGTGTAGCAGCATGTGGCACAGAATGCTGAAACGCTTTGCACTATTTACGTCAGATCTTGGAGGATGCGATTCATTACCGCTGGAAGATTCTGCCTACTGACCAACGTGAAGGCATCAAGAGCTACATTGTCGGCAAGCTCCTGTCGGTGTGTAACAGCAATCTGATGTGGTTCGTGATGCTGTGAATATGGCTAATCTAGCTGTCGCTGCCTGCAGATGTCGTCGGATGAGTCTACACTGCACAACCAGCGTATGTTTGTGAACAAGATGGATCTTGTGCTAGTGCAGGTGCTAAAGCACGAGTGGCCGCAGAACTGGCCGTCATTCATTACGGATATCGTCAACTCGAGCAAGACGTCGGAGATCTTGTGCGAGAACAACATGACTATTTTGAAGCTGCTGAGTGAAGAAGTCTTTGACTTCTCCAAGGACCAGCTGACCGAGCAGAAAACGAAGACGCTGAAAGAAAGCCTTAATCATGAGTTTACTCAGATTTTCCAGGTACGATAGAACACAGCGTAGAACGATGTCAGTCGTGGTGTCCCACTTGAGCATCTGTACGCGTATATCTAACACGTGTGTATTCTACCTCTGCTATCGTAGCTCTGCGAGTTTGTGCTGAACAAATCGACACACGTGCCGCTTCTCCAGATTACGTTGCAGACGCTGCTTCGTTTTTTGAGCTGGATTCCTCTCGGGTTTATCTTCGAGACGGATCTGATCAAAATCCTCGTTACAAAATTTTTATCGACGAACGCGTTTCGCAACGATACCATTAGCTGCTTGAGCGAGATCGCTCAGTTACGCGATGTTCCTGAGCAGTACACCAACGTGTACATTCAGCTGTACATGGGTGTGCTAACTGAGGTTGGCAAGATCTTGCCGCCCGGCAGTTCGTTTACGCCGTTCTGGGAACAGGACGAGGTGTTTGTGCAGCGATTGAGTATTTTCTTCACGGGTTTTTTCCGGTATCACATTCAAGTAATTGAGCGACCAATCAGTGCGCCGGGTGACGAGGCCCACCAGGCGTTACTGGCAGGCTTCACGTATCTTGTGTGTATCGCCGAGGTAGACGACGACAGCATCTTCAAGATCTGCTTGGAGTACTGGCACTTTTTCACGCGGGACTTGTACACGGTCGACCAGAACCAGATGAACCCACTTGCAGGTTTTCAGAACCAGGCTCGTAGCCGGCGTGACCTTGTGTCACCCGTCATGAACCGTGTGCGCCACGTGATGATCTCGAAGATGGTGAAGCCGTCCGAAGTGCTGATTGTGGAAGACGAAAATGGCGATATTGTGCGGGAGACGACCAAGGACACGGAAGCGTTATCGCAGTACAAGACGATGCACGAGACGCTTGTGTATTTGACGCACTTGAACTATGACGACACAGAGACGATCATGCTAGAGAAGCTCACAGCTCAGGTTGAGGGTACTGAATGGTCGTGGAACAATCTGAACACGCTCTGCTGGGCGATCGGATCGATTTCTGGTGCCATGAGCGAAGAGAACGAGAAGCGTTTCTTGGTCACTGTGATCAAAGATCTACTGGGGTTGTGCGAAATGAAGCGTGGCAAGGATAACAAGGCTGTGGTCGCTTCGAACATTATGTATGTCGTGGGTCAGTACCCGCGCTTTCTGCGCGCACACTGGAAGTTTCTTCGCACTGTCGTGAACAAATTGTTCGAGTTCATGCACGAGCTCCACCCTGGTGTACAAGACATGGCGTGTGACACTTTCTTGAAGATCTCGCAAAAGTGCCGGCGTAAGTTTGTTATTCTACAGAGTGGTGAAACGCGTCCGTTTGTGGAAGAACTGCTCGAAGAGCTACCTCGCATTGTGTCCGATTTGGAAACGCACCAAGTGCACACGTTCTACGAGGCCGTGGCATCAATGCTCGCTGCTGACAACGATACTAGCCGAAAGGAGTTGCTCCTCAGTCGATTGATGAGCCTTCCTAATGAAGCGTGGAAGTCGATCATGACACAAGCAGCTCAAGACGTGAGTATTTTGTACGACAGCCGAGGCATCAAGGAGATTATCAAGATCATTCGAACGAACGTAAAAGTGTGCAAGGCTATTGGGTCGAATGGCTTTAACTCGCAAATGGGCTACATTTTTCAGGACATGCTGAATGTTTACGTGGCGTACACGCAGCGCATAGCTGTGATGGTTGAACAGGGTGGAGAGATTGCGGTGAAAACGTCGCAGGTGCGCTCACTGCGCAGTGCCAAAAAGGAGAGCTTGCGCTTGATGGATGCGTTTGTGGAACACACTGCAGGCGATGATGCAGCACGGCAGTTCGTGGCGACTCACTTTTTGCCTAAGCTTTTGGAGACCATTCTCTCGGACTACCAGACCACAACACCTACGGCAAAAGAAGCGGAGGTGCTCACTTTGCTGGCTACTAGCATCAACAAGCTGAAAAACATCATCGCGCCCACAGTGCCTATGATCCTCGAGTCTGTCTTTGAGTGCACGCTACAGATGATCACGAAGAATTTCGAGGATTTTCCGGAACACCGCGTGAACTTTTTCAAGCTACTCCAGGCTGTGAACGACTTTTGCTTCGAAGCGCTGTTCAGCATACCGCAGGAGCATCAGAAGCTGGTCGTGGACTCGATCATTTGGGCTTTCAAGCACACAGAGCGCAACGTTGCAGACACGGTATGTGTTATCTTGCTCGTCTGATTCGGGCCATTCGGTATTCGACTGACTACCATACTTTGCACTATCAAACTTTTGTGTAGGGTCTTGCCACGCTGTTTGCGCTGCTACTGAACATTCAAGAAAACCCCCAGATTGCCGCCGGGTTCTACCGCTCGTTCTACCTATTGCTGCTGCAAGATATCTTGGCCGTGCTGACCGACCGCCTTCACAAGTTCGGTTTCAAGCTGCACGCAGCTGTTTTGCGTCACATGTTTTCCATCGTGGAAAACAATCACGTGACTATACCTCTATGGGAGGGCGTGCCGAACGTGGCCGCCATGCCTCCCGGCCAGACGAACTCGGTACGTCCACTGACTTCGCGCTTCTGGATGGTAACGGGCTCGTTCTCACGCTGTCTATGTTTCTGTTGTCGTCCTATTCCTCAGGCTTTTCTCAAGGACTACGTGGCAAATTTGATCGGCTCGTCGTTCCCGAACCTGTCTCGTGCACAGGTGGTGCAGTTTGTGGTGGGCTGTTTCGACATGTCGAAGGACCTGCCGACGTTCAAGAAGCACTTGCGCGACTTTCTCGTGAACATCAAGGAGTTTGCCGGCGAGGACAACGCCGAGCTGTTTCTCGAGGAAAACCTCGCGCGGACGCAGCTGCAGGAGAAGCAGGCCTTGGCTGCCAAGCTGGCCGTGCCGGGTCTAGTCAACCCGAACGAGCGTCCGGATGAGATGGCCGACTTGTAGGTCCGTTTTATCACACAGAGTAAGTACTAGCAACGAGGCAGACTTGTTGTCCACCATGACGGCACCACCGAGAGAGACACACGTGCTAAAAATAAAAAAGGGCTCGACGCGAGCGAACGCGTTCATTTTGCTGCGTAAAGCCGCGTTGTTTTAGTCAATTTGCGACAACTTAGCCGGTTTTCACTGGCCGTGACCATCACTCTTGCTTTTTTCCAGCAGAAACCAAACAACTATCGGGTCATGGCGACCACGAAGGACCTTCGGCAGCAGTGGCAATCGGCGCGCAAGTCCGCGCCCGTCTCGGCCGGCGGCGTCAACGTACGTCGACTGGCGCTTCACGGTCTGAATGCAAAGAGCACGAGGCAGGACGCGTGCGACGAGGAGCAGGAGGACAGCGCGCAAGACGAGACGACCCGCTCGGCCGCGTGCGGAAACCCCTTTTGCCGCAAAGTTTTGGCCAATCGGTACGCGAGTTTTTGCGAAGACAAGCGCATGTGCCAGCGGTACCGAGCGCTGAAGCTGCAGTGTCTGGCGAACGCACAGGCCGAGGAGGACGAGGAGGACACGAAGCCCTTGTCGCTCGTGATCAAGCGACGGAAGCGGAAAGACAAGAGCAACGACACGCAGACGCCCGCGGAAGTGCAAGCGAGTCCACGTGCTACTGGGCACAACAACGGTAGGAAGAACAAGGGGCTGACGGTAGCACGGGTGGCAGCGGGTGCAGAAGCAAGTGACGAGAAGCGGCGGAGCAGTGTGAAAAGTCCGCGAGAGAGCGAGAAAGAGGCGACACCTCGCAAGAAAAAGCGGAAAAAAGTGGTGAGACAAATGGACAGTGAGCAAGCAGCGGACGACGTCGACGAGGAGGAGGAGGAGGGGGAGAAGGAAGCAGAAGACGAGGGCGAGGAAAAGAAAAAGCGAGACAAAAGAGTGAAACGGACTCGAGATGGTCAAGAGATGGACAGTTTGGTCGGTCGGCTGCGCTCGGGTGGCCTGACACCGTCGAGCGTGTCGGCCGTGGACGAGCTCGGAGCGCATACAGACAAAGCAGCGAAGAAGACGTTGTTGCGGGTGCAGCTATCTACAGAGACGAGTGGTGACGGAAAACCGGGAATCGGGAGCAGCAGTTTACGAGTGAAACGGCGTCGACTAGATGGCCGTCTGAGTACGGGTAAGGCCGCTTCGCCTCGCTTTGTCTCGTCGTCACCAAAGCATGTTGCTACTCCTCCTGCAGCGTCATCAGCTGATGCGAGTTGGACAATTCCCAGGGCCACACCGAGTCAAGAGCGGACTTCTGTGCAGCAGATCAGGAGGAACATGGATGCAGACCTTGTGCCTCTTGGTGTTGCTAAATCAGCAAAATCTACCGGTGGAGGACGATACGTCCAGAATGGAAACCGATCGGTGTCAAATGGATTGAGGCCCTCGAACCCCCGACCAAGACCTCTGAGTATGTCGAAGTTCCCGGTATTGCCAGTATCGGCGGCGCCTGCTTCTTCTGTGTTGCCGGCAAAAGCATTACCTACGTTTGTATCGACTACACGACAACAGCCATCATCACCACAGTATAAAAGGCCATGGCCACCGCTACCACCTCAGGCTTCGGTTGCGGCTCCAACACCGCTACCACATCAGACTTCGGTTATGGCCCCACCACCGCCACCGCCGCCACCACGGCAGACTTCGGTTACGGCCCCACTACCACCACCACCACTGCTACCACCGCAGACTTTTGTTTCGGCCCCACTGCCGGTATCACGGCCAGCTGCTAGGACTGTGACCTCCTCGCCGTTGTCTGCAAAGTCATTTGCGGCGCCAGCTGCCATTGACTTACCCGCCACAACAGCACCCGCGGCATGCGATGTATCTCGGATTTCTACCTTGGCCTATTTGAAGAGCAAGAAAGGTGTCAGCGAACGGCAACTACCGGGACACCAGACTAACTTTCCACCGCCGCGGATGTCATCGCCGGAACGTGTTAGTATTGTGAGTGATGATCATGCCTTGGGAATCTCGATGGTTCCGGCTTGTCCGACAGGCCCGCCTAGGTATCGCAACGACGGTGCTCCGTTGTTATCTTACGCGGAGTCTCGTTTGGTTGTGGACACACGTAGGCATTACCCGGAAGTTGATGCAAAGAATCAACGATCGCATTCAGGAGCCGAGGAAGACGCGATGCAGTATCGGGAAAGACCGAAAGTTGGCAGTGCGCTTGAAAGATCAGCGTCCGGGCATTGGAAAGACCGGAACTTTTTGTCGCCACGTGAACGCACTTTACTCCGACAACAGGACGCTTTTACGGCCGGTGTTAGAAGCAGTGGCTTTGAGTACTCTACGGATACTTATGTGAGGTCATCACCGTCTTCATATGAACAGCCCAACCGAAAAAAGCCCGCACACAAAGAGCCACCACCGCCCCAGCATGCATCGGCATCTTGCCGGAGTGATCAGCGTGTGAATCACGAACCGAGAAAAAGCGGTCACGATGACATTGAGGACGATGCACCAACGTTTTCCTATCGCGAGAGTTTTCTACCACATTTGCTGTCAGTGTTTATTTACAAGTTTCCCCATTCGCTGGAAGCGGTGTATAACGTTACGAAGAAGCCGAGGAAGATGATTTGGTACGTTAAAACTATTGAGCGCATTGAGCGCATGTGCAGACCATTTGATTTGAAGGTAAAGTTCGATGGCTTGAAAGCAGTGGTGACTGTGCGAGACCGTGAATGGCTTACGTTGGAGGGTACGTCTACAGTGCTACTGCATTTGGATGTCATGAAAGGTTTGCGGAGCGAGGCGATTACATGGCTAAGGTTGTATGAGGAGATGGAGACGGCTCTTGCTTACTACAGAAGCATGTATGGCAGTCAAGCAAACGAAAGCTATTGTTTTCTTCGCGCGTGGAACAATTTGAAAAGCACGGGAAATCCGATCGCACTGTCAAGAGAGGTCAATTACTTTTGCGGTACGCGATTTCATCACTGGAATTTTGTTGTCGGTAAGGTAGAAATCGGGAGTGGCAGTCATGAAGAGAAAAGAGAGGCTTTTCGTCTAGCCACGATTAGCGCACTGTATTTTCTGTTGAGCATTGGTCGAGGCGTGCGACGTCCTTCAGTCGAGCGTACTCGAGCGTCGGATGATCATGATGATTTTGAAGAAAGTCATCGAAGCTCAAGCCGCGAGCCATCAGCCAGCAGAACAGTGCGTTCACCGGATGATAATAGGGAGAACAGTGTATCTGCCGCCTCGTCACCTTCGATTGGGCCTTCGTCCCCAGTTGAGTCACGTCAAGCGGTAGTACAGCCGCCGACCAAGCGATTGCCGATGGCACGTGATGATGCTACTAGGTTTTTTGCTGAGGCGCCGTCGACGGGACGACAGCCGTCACCCGTCCAGCCTTCGACGGAGCAACTACCGGTGGCACGTGATGATGCGACTAGGTCTCCTGCTGAGGCACCGTCGACGGGACGACAGCCGTCACCTGTCCAGCCTTCGATGGAGCAGCTGCCGGCGCCACGTGATGGTGCTGACAGCCTTCGCGCTGACAAGCCTTCGACCACCCAGGGACCAGCGGAGGATGAGTCACTGTTTTCAGCCGAAGTACATTCCGATACCGCCCCGGTCTCTTCTGGCAGCCACGAATTGGCAGAAACTGTGGAGAAACGTTGCCCGAGTAAGGAAATGGACACGAGTGGTAGGTGCGCGCTGTGTGACTATGCGCGAACGTTGACTTTCATCGCTGTTATATGCTGTCGACTAAACACTTGTGATGTGCAGACGTCAATGCTACGGGTGTCTCATCCTCAGCTGAGTCGCCGCGCATACCGGTGAGAACGCGAGGGACCTCCTATGCAAATGCCCGTGAGCCTGCTGCTACACCGGTAAGTGGAGTCACGTCAGGTGGAACAGTATCCTCTGCTCCGACAGTTGTTGTTTCTGGTCCTACTATCACTTTGGACCCACTGCGACCGGCCGTTGCGGTTCAAAGCGAACCCCTCGCTTTCATTCCTGCACCTATAATGGCACCGTTTGGCGCACCTGCCGCAGCTGCTGGAAATATGGGACCTGCGATACAGAGAGGCATTCCAGCATTCCAGACTAAGGCATCAGCGCCATCGCGACGGTGCATGATGTGCGAGATGATTCGCATGCGGAAGCCGGATGGCGAGCGATGTCTACGCTGTCAGCAGAAAGATGTACCAGCAAATGGGGCGTTCAGCGCCTTGCTTTGGCCTTAACCTAGTGCCGGCGCGAGTGAGCTAGCCGAGTTGGCCTGCATGTCCCAGTTTGTGGGGGATATGCATAGCACTAGCTCTGTCGAAGATGGCACATCCAGCGTTATGCGTCGAGACGGCACGGGTAGATATGTACATGCATGTCGTATGTACTAGGACGTTATTTAATATTTGTGCGTCAAAGCACTTCGACTATGGAGGCAGAACGGTTCACTCGGCGGGTCCACATATCAATGTGTTCATTTCCGTGATGTGAAAAGGTCTCAGGTTGCATTGCAATGTCACTGCATCTGGAAATCCAACACAAATCGCCTGCAATCGACAGCAGGCCACAATGACCAAGGCAATTGCAACAGTCGAGGATAAACATACGGTGTACGTATGCACTTCGTCTGTAGATCCTACAACTGAGTGTACGCAAACGCCACGACCTCAAAAAGGGCACAATATCGAAAACAAGTCTCGAAGGAACTCCCTATGAATCGTTACCAACGAGCAAATATACTTGAAGAGCAAAGACAGCTTCGAGACAGTCCCGGTAGCCAAAAAAAGCGAAGAAGAGTGAAACAAGTACAGGATCTTGGAAAGCCCGAGACGGTGTAGACAGCGTACAGAAATAACATGCAGCCAACTTTCAACTGAGTGATTTGCTTACGTGGCAGAATTTGGGAAGTAGGCATTTCTTTGCCGTCGGGCAGCGCTAGAGGACTCCAATGCAGTCACGCTTGAATGCGGCAAAATCGGACTTGACACACGAAAACTTATCGCGATTGCAAGCACTTGGCTGAGCTTATGAATGTTCCAGCCCCCTGGTGTCGTAACCACAGTCAGACCAAAAGTGCGAGTACACAGCAAATCGTTTTGCAGGGCCAATGTCTCTTGGGAGGATGTGTGCAGCTGTGTACAACAACCGAACGAACCTCGCTATTCTCGGCACTTGTAATGTGCTCGGATCCCAGATCGTAAGGAATCTGTCATTTAAATCGTGGACGAATCCGTCTGCTTGTACATTGATCGAGCTCGAAGCTTGCGGTGCCAACGAAGTCAAGCATTATTGAGCTCGGTAGGACTGATCCATCATAGCGTTAGTTGCAGGTTTCAATAAGCAGCATTGCAATCGGCAAGTGCGACTAGATAGGAAAATAGAAACACGACGCGCCCAAAGATGCCCATACCAGCTGATCGAATAAGTAGCGTGTTGCAGTCGTCAAAGACTCATGTTTGCGTGTGTGCCAATCGCTTCCGTGCAGTAGCAATATGGACTGTATTGTTGTGGAGTGCATGGTAAGATGAGCCATAACGTATTCTTCGTGCAGAAGAAAGCACATTGCATTGATTGAACAGCAAGCTGCAGCAAGTTTGAAGTAGGTTGCATTGTAGTGTTTGGAATAGTTCATTCAGTGCAAAGGTGAGGCCCCGTAGTCGATCGACTTGGCCAACTCGAATTCGTGTATGTTAACGATTTTCCGTACCAATACCATCGACAGTAGTGTGTAATCGATAATGTCACTGCTCTCAATGACCTTTTCAATCGCGACGGTCACATATCGCTGTGATGGCGAGACTCGAGCATATTGGCGCGCCCAAGTCGATACAAAGTTGTTGCTGACCTCTGCCAACTTGCTACTGTCGACAACATTTATCCGGCGTCCAGTGGCTTGACTGCCACATACGTCGGAGTGTCAATTGGACTCGCAAGTCGCACGTGGCTTTCATTCATGGGATGCAGTCCAAAACCATTTATAAAGCATCGATCGACTTTTTCCTCAATTTTCGACGACCCGCTCAAAAGTTGATTCCTTACTTTACGAAGTGCTTACGTGTCGACACGCCGCACGGCATCGAAATTGTCGTTCTATACGCCAAGCACAACGACAAGCTGAGGTTAGTTAAGAGAAGCAAAAGATACTTGCACCTTCCCACCAAAAGTCGTAAAAGTCGAAAAGTCAAGTACATCGATCGCTGCTAAGCACCGAGGCAGCTATATCGTTACATGGCAAGACTTACTACTGCAAGTACAAGACTCTTGGGTCGTCACCTTTCCTACGCTGATGTACTGACGCAAATCTTTGAGTCATCACTTGAAAAGAAAAACAGGAGACCACTACGAAGGCTTGCCTTGCCTTTCGTGCCGAGAACGACACAAGAGGACAGTTCTTTACCAAAGAGAGACGAATCGGTCGTAAACAGAATTCACTTTCCCATTCGATTCGCAAGCTTGCAGATCAACAGTCGCTGTTGCGTGGTTGCAGCGATTTCTTGAACTTCTTCCGGAGACTGCGTTTACGACTGAACGCATTCTGCAGCGTGGACGACCCAGCTTCTCGGATTTTAGCAAGCACGAGACTGTTCTCGGACGATACGATGCTGCTGACATTACCTGCTGTACCTGCACGACCTGTACGCCCGATGCGATGCAGGTAGCTCACAATGTCACTCGCGAACTCAAATTGAACGACATGGCCCACTTTGGTAGTGTCTAAGCCTCGTGCTGCAATGTCAGTGCAAATGACGACAAGATCTTGGTCGGCATCCGCTCCACTGTCAAGTCGCTGTACAAGTTGCTGACGCTGTGCTCGGTCAACCTCCTTGTGAAAGACCGCACAGTTCGTCATATTCTTGTCCTTTTGCAAGAAATCAAACAGCGCGTCGGCACTGGCAATGGAGTTGGTGAACACGAGCGTCTTGTGGCCTGTGGCCACGCCATCCCGACCAGGTCCCGATGTAGCCACTATGTCATACAGGAGTTCGCAGCGAGCGTGCTGCTCGTTTTCAAAGTCGCCACTCGTCGCAAATTGTTGCAGATCATGCGCACGCAACGTCAAATTCGGCAACACGCGGTGAAATCCCTGCAAAGTATGTCAACATGTCACCGTTTCGAATCCAAAAGAATGAGTAAAGCACAGCCGGCAGTTTACATCAACGCACCTCAGTCACAGCAAACACGGCCGACGGAAACTTGTAGTCGATGTAGTGACGCACTGATCGTTTGCCGTAGTTCGGAATCGTTGCGTTTACAATAAGAAAAACAACAAGCGTAAAAAAGCATATCTCACGAAGTTAAGGGAGCGCGCATGATTAGCACACACGAGGCCAGATGTGTAAGAGGTAATCCATGAAAAAAAGAGTGGAAAGGATATTGCACTGAATACAGTCTGCGTGCGTTCCGTGGCAATGTCATCATGGTCCTGGACCTGTGGATCCTGTAAGTCTGCATCCTCGAAACGATTCAGCTCGGACTTCAGTAGCGGCTGGTTGCGAATCGTTGCAAGAATCTGCTTGGTCTCTTTTTCGAATCCGCCACTCAGCAGCATGTCAGCTTCATCAACCACAACCATCTGCGTGAACGCAAAGTCTCTTGGTTTACTGGCACGCAGGAGTGCTCCAGGTGTCGCGATGACCAGTGGACACGCACGTCTGCCCTGGAGTAATGTCTGCCTGGAAGACGACAAGCTCACTGCATATGGTGCAAGTTCTGGATCAAGTTGATGCAGGACCGTGACTACCTGTCGAACGAGTTCCTGTGACGTAGTCAGCACCAAAGCGGCTGGAAAGCGCATGGAACTGACTGGCAGCGAACGGCGACGAAATTGCTCGAGGATCGGCAACAAGAAGGCCAGTGTCTTACCACCGCCGGTTTCAGCAGCAACGACCACGTCGTTGCCCATCAAAATGGACGGAATGGCTTTGCATTGGACAGACGTTGGGGTGGCCAAACCCAAGTGAGCTAATCGATCGACGAGATGGTTGCTGAGACCTAAAGACTGGAAAAAGCGCGCGGTTCGTGATTGCATCGACGAGACAGACCCCGTGCAAGTGTATTGGATCGTGGAGGTCGTGCACGCCTTGTAGACGCAAGACCGTATCAATAGCATGGCACACTTGAAGTGATAGGTGGGGAAGGTGGGTGGGTCTCCGTTATTGACTGGAGCTCTTTGCTTGGTATTTATGACCACTAGAAAAGGGGTGATGATTGATTGCTATGTATGGGACGAGGCGAGACAAATGGATTACAGATGGTAACTACTGATACGTGTCGCCGAATAGAACCGCAGCAGATCGTAGCACCCTGGAAAGGGTTTTGATAGCTCAAGAAACCTGTACAGAAGCTTCACACGGGTGAAGCTTGATGTTATACTCGATACAATGCACGACTCTACGTGCTAGAATGAGGGCGAGTCTCAGCTACTTTGTAGATCCAGTGCACTTGTCGCCAAGACGATGATTCGTTGTCGTGTCCAATCTGATTACTGAAGTTGACGATAATTTGCACGTGAGCTTTGACTGGGGATCAAGGTGATAGTCGAACTCACCTGATCGGTGGATGCCTATCACGGATAGCTGCACAGGTACTTCGAGCTGCTGGACGGCGTTAGAACATTAGGACACCCGTAAGTGGAGGTGAAAACGCAGTGCGATCGAGCAAGAAGCTCCAGCGCATGAACGGCAAAGCAGTTGTGATATGAAGCCGGTCCTCGGTAGACTAGAGCAATATGTTTCCTGTATCGATCATCAGTGTTCGACTATGGATCGAAAGAAAGACCACGATAGCATAGCACACATTAGGATGATATACAGCACAATCATAGCAGCAAGATTTCATGATAACTTCAGACCAAAGACACATGTGGCAGCACGACATTAACATTACTTTTTTGGCAACGCTGGGTTGCACCCTCTGCGTCAGATGATATAAGAAAGAGCTTGCCAATGCTCTTGGTGGCATCGAACATGTAAACGGGCAAGCAAGCAAAATGAAGACACGCCCGAAGGTCTTTCGCATCGCAGCTATGTGTCAGAGCTAAGGGCATGGAGATGTACCGATTGCCGCTGTGAAATACATTCAGCGAATCGTCATCCACATGGCTACAACTCCATGCTGATCGTAGCCTTGCGATTGCCAAAGGTACTGATGGTACGGGGAAGGAATACGCTTCTTACTGTTTTGCTGGAAAGGGCACAACTAAACATCATCACACATTACTTACACGACGTTCATATGAAAGCTGGCGGATCGATACGACTCCGTAGCTTGCTCGCGCAAGAAAACGATCCATACGAGCTTACTTGTCTGGCTCGCTGAAGGCGCTTGTACTTATTGAGCACATCAATCGCACGAAAGCTCATCAATGGTCATTTGCATCGTGCTGCAATCGTAACGAGCAATTTGGGTAACGCAGGTGGAACTTGTGATTATTGTAGTTAGCTTTTGGCTGACAGCGCAAAACCTAAAGGAGTGAATTTGAATAAGTGAGCGATCATATTTTGAATTCGTGAGTAACGTTTGTCAACGTCTACCAATGCCTGCTAACCTCGTTGTCTTTAGATATCACCCTTCTGCATGTGCCTTACAGTATACGAATACACCACGCTTGCGCCAAGACTTTTGACCAGGCCGATGCAACGACCATGGCTACAGGCCTACGTCACTTGCCATCACATCATCAACTCCACCTGATTCCGTACAAGGAGAGGTTTGGTCGTACCATGAACGGCCATGCCATTTCTGAGATTGCCCCGGCGCTTTTGTTTGCAAAGGCACAAATCGTACAATAATGTGTTGACATGTGCACACTGCTTTACGTCTCGCTTCATTCGAGCGATCGAAATGATAAGAACATCTCGTAGCTGTTGCACTGATCGTTTGTCAAAGGGGACAGCCACCTGCGGTGTCCAAGTGCATCGCAGCATCTTCGCACTTTGCAAGTTATTGAGTCAATAAGCAGCGTGTACCTTTATGAAACGGCAATCATCTGGAACGACAGAGCACAAACATGATAGGGAACATCGCAGTGATACCATCTAAGTACGTTGCTTTTACCTCGAAACTCTTCTGTACCATCAATTCGCAAGTGCCATAACCTGTCCGGAACGTATCATAGACCGATAAGCATCCGCAAAACAAACGTGCATAGCTCATACTCGAGGACCAAGGTGATAGCATTTACCGCCAAGCAAGGCGTTTGTCAGGTATTGCTTTCAGAATAAAGAGCTGGAACAAGTGGATATTGAACACGGGTGTGGGGCGGTCAAACTGCGAATGGTTTTGTATGAGCAGCAGATGCCTTACAATTGGGCATGGTGACTGTAGTTGTGTACAAGTCTCGCACCCCTCTGCAGCGCTCAAGTCATTCTTTCGACCTAGCACATCCAGCATCAGGTCTCGAACGCGAACGTTGGTGGCAAAATGCCTGGCCGAGTATTGCACGAAGCTGAGCTGGAAGCGATTGGCCCCACAATTGGCGCGAGAACGACGTCCCGTTATTGCGCGCAATAATCTCTTCGGAGCCAAGCAGACGTTGCGAGCTAGGCGTCACATGATGTGCTCTCTCCGATGGCCGAAATCGTAATGGTGCATGTCGAAAGTGTGAGGACGTCGTTGAGTTTGTGAGCCCTTCGTATTCGACAAAGCGACCTCGTCCAAGTACTGCCAGCACGGAGGTGCACCACTTGTCCCAGTATTCTCGCTCACCTACAGAGCGCAGACGCACTCCATCCATGTCCGTAAGTCGACATGGGCATTGCAGCATCGATGCTGCCAAGTCGAGACGAATGACACTTGCAAAATGAGTCGGATGTGCTATCATTGCACCAAAGTCCCGCGTCTCACCTTATGCAGACAAAGACGCAAACGTTGTTTGCTTGTACAGCGATCTCGTAATACATATTTGCCACGTAGCGCCATGTACAGGAAAGCGCCCTGTCGTCCGTTTACCTATGGCAAATGACGTCGGGGCATACCGCTATAGTCAGATCACAAAGTGTGGCCTCGTCGAGCTTACTCCTAGTGCTCTAGCAGTTGCTTTTGTTTCTGGTTGTTTGCCACAACTCATAGAGACGCAGCGACCTGCTATCCTACACAGCGAATGTCTCGATAGTAGATATAAAGAGCGACGTTTGAGACAAACATGTCTTCTCCATCTCGGTAGAACAAGCTCAGCACCTAACAAAGCAACACACGTTTGCATCGCAGCGACAGTTGTTATTCGATAACATGTTTCCCTCTTGGGCTATGCACACGTCACGACGTGGCTCAAGTAAGACCACTAAGTGATCCGATGCGGCGTCGACGGTAACTTTCAGCTCTTTTTCCACAAAGTTGACTAAATGTCCACTATTAGTGCACAGCATATGATGTTGGGCCCCTGCCCTGTGTCTTGTCCACTATGCCTTTGATTGGTCCGTAGGTTCCACGAATTCGCCCAACAACTTTTAGTGGCTCCAAAGCAAAAGAAGAACCGATGGCGAGTAAGAAACTGTGGAAGAAGGCGCCTACGCAGGTGTTGAAGATCGTTAAGCCCATCGTGCACTGGGGCTTCGTGCCGCTCATTGTGTACATTGCGCTCAAGCAAGAGCCGAGTCTCACGTGCGTCTTCTGACTCGACATTTGGGCTCGTTTGTCCACACTTTGTAGCTTTTTTTTGTTTCTAATGTCTATTGGTGTGACTCTGTATGTGACAGTCTGATGCAGATCCTAAACCCATTTGCGGCTCCAGCTGAGCAGCCTCAAGTGTAAACCAGTGGACATTGAGAGTGGGAAACATGGAGACGCTAGTGGCTGATCTCGATGATCGATATCGTCGAACAGACGCGTGCTTCTGGCTGTGTGCTGTTTCGTGCACGTTGTTGGGCGACAGAGATGACACTGAGTGTGGACTATGGGCTGCTCGAGCAATGAAAGGAGATCAGAACACTACGAGCCTCGACCATCTGCTGACACCGCTGGTTCTAATTTAGTTGAGCCGCACAACTCTTGTTGCTGCTGGTAACAAGAGCTTTCTGCTTGCGCGTGTAGAGAGCCAACCTCTTTCGCTCTCGTGTTCATTCTAGATGGTCTGACGTGTTTTGAAAGATAGCGTCACGTCGTCCAGAGTGTGGTCGTTGTTGCATCGTGGTGTCTGCACGTTCTAACGAGACGCAACGTTCCGTTTGCAACAGGCGCTCGCATCGAGCGAGTCGTTTTACACGACTTTGCAAGCGTCCTGAGTGCCGGAATCTAAACTCTTGTGTGGCCCAGCAGTGTATGACTCTTAGCCGGACGCAGCCTCTCAGTGCTTGACCGAATCGTCCATTGTCATGTAAGCTGATCGCGTGTTCTTGTTGGGCACACACGGTCTTTGCCGGCTGTGCATACCATGCACAAAACTCCCTATCGTGAACGCAAAAGCTTGCGATGAAAGAAGTTCGGCTTTCAACGCGATGGCAATTTCATGCGCAAAGGTCTCGCTCGGCTTCAGCTCACGAATGACACGACCAATCGATCTCGAATGCCTCGGACAGATGCTGTCATGCATGTCGAGCGTCAGTGTCACATCTATGACGCACTATTGACTACGAGAACACTCGGACCGAAGAAAAGTAGGAAGTGTCATGCTCACTGTAACGCACCGGTAACGGTACAACTTGCAAGCCTGAAGTTTTGACGATCGTCCACCACAACTGGGGTCCTGTGTGACGGTAGATACAGGTCAAAGTGTTGTTGCTGCCTAGTGATACTACGTCAAGTGCAGCTTTGCTCAGCCGACATATGCCGCAAATTAAAGTCATGCTCGGAGCATGTGTCGTGAAAACAACACCCCTCTACGCCTCTGTTGTCAAAGCGAGGTGTCGTTTTCACGACGAAACACGCGAGTAAGAACGCCTGTACATTCCGTCGTGGAAGAATGGATTGATACACGGACGAGGAGCCGAAACCAGCAGATCTTGTCTGCGCTGCATCTACTGACAACCCCCACATGCACCGTGCACAGTAAACTCGGTCATACTGGAGAGAGTGACGCCAGTAGGCTGAGTGTCAAATGGCGTCACTCATCACTCAGGCGTTCGTACTTGGAGCACGAGACGTGCCAAATGGCCATGGCGGGTAACTATGGTCCGTCGCGGTCGTAGGGTCGGTCTGTCGCAATCGTACTGGATGCGCCCATCAATTACAAGTTCGGACGAGGGCTGGCAGTCCCGTCACAAAGGCAACAAAGTTGTCTTGTTTGTCCAGGGAAGAACTTCCTGCAATCCCGAAGAGTGCATGGAGGATGGTGACCAAGATAGTCCGTAAACGAGCTGCAGTTTTCTCGGTAGTATGGCTTTCTTCGTATCTGTCGGTCCTCAGCTTCGTAGGGAATTGTTACTTGATATGGCACCAGACGTGTGGTAAGCATGTCGTCACACGTGGAAATGCCACCTTCTGTTTCGCGCGTGTGGCTTTTTCGCCGGCTAATGTCGATTAGCGTCTTCTAGTCGTCTTCGTGTGTTTCTTGCTGCTAAGTCATTGTCGTTTGCGCACTGTGAGTGAAGTCGCGTCGAGTGCTAAGGAGTAAGAACTTGCTCCGTTGTCACGGTCGCGTCGAGTGCTAAGAAGTAAGAACTTGTTCCGTTGTCACGGTCGATTCATGGCACGTTTGCATCGGACCTACGTAGACAAGCAACAAGCCAAGTTTTGAGACCGAGAACGTGGATGAGTCAAAGAAAGGAGCTCGGACTCAGGACTCGTTTTCGTATCGATTTGTACGTACTTGTGCTCGTCCTGCTGCTCGTGACTGAGCAGAGTGTGAAGTGTATAAGTGGCCGTGGCTGTTCTGTGTCGTGCGGTTGCCTCATGTTGAGAGAAGCTGAGCTACTTTGAAACGAGCGATACGAAAACGGCTATCTTATAACCCACGCAAGCGGCTCGAGGCCAAGGGCAGATCAAGCATAGACAGGGGTATCTTCGCTTGTGCAAGTCATGACGGCGAGTCTGTGTGCTTTGACTATAGAATAGCGACAAATACAGCAAAGCAGACGCAAGAATTCACGACTTGAATGTGTGACCGCACCTGCGCAGCTGCATTGTTACCTCCGTCTCTCACAGAACACCATCGACTGGCTGCTAATGCTGCACGCACTAAGAGGCCTTCTCGACGGGCCGTTTTCTAGCCTTCAGCTCGTCCAGGTGAAAGTTTTGTGCATTCTGTATGAACTTGTCGTCCCACACTGCGGTGCCTTCGCTTGCCGCTGCTGGCGTAGTTTTCACGGCATCCCGGGCTTTGCCGACGGTAGAAATGGGTGACGGTGGCTTAGGCGGCATTCCCACTTTTTTGCTAGCGATCCGAGGCAAAAGTCTGGCAATGCTTTCAGCCATGAGCTCAGGGTTGTCACCACCACCACCACCTCGGTCTTCGCCTGCAGTTGCCTCGTTGGACTCGACGTGACGAAGGGATCGTTGAGCACCGTCGTTCCTCGGAGCTGGACCGGTCTTCTGGCTGGACTCTGCCGCTGGTACGCCCAAAACGTCCGCATGGCTCGCATCCGTGACGACTCCAGTACAGGCGACGAAAGTCGTCGCGACGACAAACACAACACGGCGCACACGCATCGGTGATCGGTCAGCAAAGCAATTGGTGAGTGGTTGGTGAGCACGAGGAGAATCTCGGAATGCTTGAAGCTCAGACCTGCCTCAATGAGCCATTCTGCATCTGTCAGGATTGGATGGGTGAGGTGCGACAGTGACGCGGACAATGGTCGCAAGCAATGCCATGCTGGTCCGTCATTGTGACTTGGGTTGTGCTAGATCCCAAACGACGTTCGTGCCGTTCATATTGGAGCTACGTCGCAAGTGTACTGTATCCAAGACCTTCATCCACTATCAACCATGTGCATTTCCGTATTGACTGCCCTTGTAATCTTGGTACGGACCTGCTTCGAGCACAATGGGAAGCTCTGCAACGTGTCGACCGCGCGTCTTCGACATCATGGAGCAAAGTAGTACTATGGAACTTGTAACGCTCGCTACGTGTAAGTCACGTAAGAGCGTGCAGTCCTTCAAAAATGGCCATGCGTAAGACAGATGGGGTCAGTATGTCGTCTATTGACGACCTCGTCCGGGCTCATGCTTTATGTAACAGACGCAGCCGCTTCTACGCTGCATAGACGTGTCAACTTGCTGTCTCTAAATATGAGCACGTGCGACCCCTTCAATCTAGAGCCCGACATCGCTCGCCTTCCCGAATCTGTCTGCCTATTATCGTGACGATCTGTGTGATTGGCACAGCAACATGTTACAAAAAACTGAAGGTTAGACCGAACAGGTGCATGGACAATCGATTCGTAGCATGCTCGGCTGCTGGAGAGCGCTAACAAACACGAAGGCATTTGCAGTCTCATTTAAGTGATCGAAAGTACAGGTGAGTGCTCTCGCAGCACTTTGTACCTTGATCTCATAGCTGACTTAGGATGAAAGATGCAGGTGCTTTTGGTCGCTAGAACCGCAGAGCGTGAGCTGTTTACACTTGACAGCGCAAAGCGAGACGGCAAATCGTTGAGCGGAATGGCAAAGCCAAAAACTAACTAACGCTGATGCTATCCAGACTCACATGAGCTACCCACAAGCTGATCGGATGGTCGGACTATACATATATACACCAGACCCGCGCACGTCTCAAACGCGCAAACGGGAGCACTGCTTGCGCATATAGCCAAATAGCACGGGCGCTGATCGGTAACCGTGCGCAATTGCTTGTCATGGCTCCTCTCAGCGTCGCACGTTTTTGGGAGCTTGGAATCAGACATCTTACAGCGTTAGTGAAACGCCAATTCTTGCGGTCCATTTACGGTTGCCGCTGAGGTCCTCAGACATACCTGTACCGACCTACTTACTCTCGAACCTCGGGACGGGTCGGGTTCTACAGGAGACAGCTACGACGAGCTGCCAGGATCCGGTGCTTTTGTACTGACTCAGAGGTCTCAGGCATCTTGTACACAACTGTATGGTGATCGACAGTCATGAAGCCTGTTTCGATTGCTTGTCATCTATCGCAGACCTGTCTCACTAGCAAGAAAAAACAATCATGTGCAATGACTTGTCTGTCGACAGTCTCGTTACTCTGCTATCTTTCGAAGCGCAGTCAACCATTCACAACATCTTGGGTCAGCGGGGCAATCGCCTCTTTCCAGGTGAAGCCAACGCGACAAGCAACTAAATTGTAGATCGATCCAGACAGAACTTGCGAATAATTGATCATAGTATCGGGTCGGCAGCACATGTCATTTGCAAGCGCTTTGGAGACGAAGGAAGCACAATGCTTTCGTTTGCAAGAGATCTGGGGACACAGTAGACGTCCGATGTGACGACACCAATGGCTGCGCAACCACCTACGACCTTGCAGAGCGTTGTGTACGCGCCACTTGACACGGCGCTGTCTCACCTCATCGAATGCAGCAATTTTGGCCGAGACGACAGCAACACATCGGTACATTGTCGAGCCACAAAAGCTGAATGAAAGAAGTGGGAAGTGACGTGGTCTTCCATTCGAACGATAGATGACTCTGTGAGGCTGCGCGTAAAGCGTCGACTCACCGTATTCTTCTTGCAACACGACTGTCGACAGTCAGAAAGTATTAGCTCTTGAACAATGAAAGAAGAGCAGGAATAAAGCAGATACGCGTGGATGTCTATGCAAGATCCCAGGCATGTGTATACTCAAGCGCATAGTATACATCATGAATGCATTTTGTATGTTTCTGGCTACTTGGTGCGCTTTTTCGCCCATCTTGAATTGCATTTTTTACTCGGACAATTTGTACATTTTCTCTTGTTGTGCATCGCTATCTTTTTTATTTTGGGCATTATTTTTTGGCTCTCATCATGTGGTACATATTTTGTCCTTTTTGTGCTTATCTGGTGCATGTTCCAATTGTTCTTCTACCAACGATCGATTATGATCGACTTATCGACAAAGCAAAAGCGATAGCCTAATCAACTTGTAAGCTCAATTGATCGTTCATCTCTCAACATCTTATTTTTCAGCTATCGCATGTTCTGTTGTAAAAAAGAACTCACACGTTCCCAATTTCTCGAAAACAATGGTGTCTGCAGCGGGAACGCTGCTCTGGATGACGCATGCATTGGTACAAGAACATGGATGGGTGCTTCAAGGTCCGGAGAGCAATACGAATAGTGTGAAGAACGCTGACTCATTTGCTGGCAGCGTAAACCTACTGCCGGCTCGACGCTACAAATTGTCAGCAATGGCTCAAGACGACGCAGATGTTCACGTTCGGGCGCTCTTAGTGGGCACTAAACTGTTTGTCCACTTTGTGTCGACCGATAAAAGCGTTCGAATTAGTCTCAAGTACGTTCGTGCAGTGACTTAGCGGCGACGACGGTACGATATGAGTGAGTGACACGGTTGAACCTTTTTCTTCGCGACAGGATCGCTGAATTTGTAAACCCGCGTGGGCACCAACCGGATAACAAACGTCGAGCTCCGGGTCAAGTGGTGCGCACTGACGAATGGCGGTGTAACATGGACATTCTTCGCTGGAGGTGAGCTGCTGTCGAATGAGGTGGTTCGATCGAAGAGGATTGTCGATAACGTTGTTCTTTTTTGGTGGTGATGACGCAAGGCTTCAGCGCAATTTGTTTCCCGAATTCTCAGGCAACAAAAGTGTAGTGCCGGCGGATGCCGAGCTAAGTCGGCTTCCAGAGCAGATCCTTGGGCGCATTGGAAAGTTCCTGGCAGTTTCGGACTTTTGCCGGTTCACGGAGATGAGCAAAGTATGAGGGAAAACAAGTTTGATGGTGCAGAATTTGTTTGCACGTACTCGTAAGTCTCACTTTTTTGTACCTGCAGTATGTCCATATGTTGAAGGACTCGTCCGAGCTCTGGCAGTACTTTTTGCGGCGTGGTACGTCTATGAATAGCTACATTAGCTGGCTGATTGCAGTCACAAACCGTTCTTTTGTTGTTTACCCGTATGCTTTAGATTACGGCAGGACACTACAGTCTGATGACGATCCAAAAGCCATCTACGTCTCCATCTACAGCGATGCAAAGAGAATGGAGATATGGAATCGACTTGATCGTGAGCGTCGGCTTGGCGGGTACATGCAACACCAGCATACCCATTGGCGAAGAAGACTGGCAGCACCTTCTCTGCGGGGCCCAATGCCTCCGCTATTCGTACCATTCCGAGATGCTTCGTGGTTGTTGCGACCGCCGCATCTGTCTGGCTTGATGACTGATGAAGATCTTGGACTGCCGTTTGACTTCCGCTTTGACTCGCTGTATCCGGATTTCAACTGACTGGTTATAGCTGTACCGGTCGTTGATTCCTGCAAGCAGTTGTTCGTTTGGAATATGCATGTGTACTGCAAAGTCAATGAGTACGCAGGATCTTGTCGTTGCGGATAAAATGCCAACGTAGACCTCATGCGCAGCCTCATGCTGGAAAAGGTAACGACAGCCTTCGATCAAGCTACAGTGTTCGCCTTGGCTTTGCGATCAAGTGGCCAGCTACTTAGTACACTCGGCTCCTGCTCTCGATGTGATTCAATTGCTAGGCCCAACAGCCCATGCCAATGATGAAAGGAAGATGCTTAACCTTGCGACCTGCCCACTGATGCTTTCGTTCTCAGTACACGTCAATGATCGGATGTGCATAGTTGCCACTGCACACATTTTGCCCAATGCCATTGACTGCCATTTTGTTGCCGAAGCATGGTGCTGCCATAAGTTCTAGCTTGGTTGACAGTCAGTCTTGACATTTGGTAGAATTGCATCGGGACTGCCAGCGAAGCGAGCTCGATCGAGAACTAACGGCAATTCGCACACGTTCCGTGTTTGTAACGATAATCGCAGTGACGTTGCCGTGAAACTGTGAGCTCCAACTGCTTTAGTAAACATGCAAAATGACGTCAGTCCTTGAGGAGCTAATTGTAGTTAGTAGCTTGATCATCAATCTAGCCATTGCCAAGTAGTCGATTGACCCGCCTGATGACGCCGTCGATCTAGTTGATAGCTGCATCGTCTCCGCAAATGCATATAGCACAAGCAGAACCTGTCAAAAGACAGGTTCCCAAGAGACAGAGAACGCACTTTTGCATTCTGAGTAGAGAACTTGCCGATGCTATCATGTCATTCATGTCTAGCCATTTGCCAAACTGGTCTTCCCAATGCGTTCCTATCAGTGTCAGTTTTAGTTATTGCGGTGGCACTCTTTTTTGCTTTCGACATGCAAAGCTTTGCAGTCGAACCGAGCGGATGGTCTGATCGTTTTAGGCTGTGAGAGACCAAACGATACGCACGGCATTTTCGTGTTAGCATCGTGATCGTCGAAGACGATATCAAGTGCCAGGACACGCTCGAAACGAGCACGCGGAGCTCGCAACTGCTACACCCCATTCTTCGCTCGATGTCTTTCAGTGCCACGCACCCTTGTTTGTCCCGCGAACACGTACCTTAGGTATAGACTGACGTCGGCCTGTTAGAAACAAGTATTGAGGCTGTATATCATCATCGACTTGGTGGATGTCCTTGCTTGCTGACCCGACACAAAACGACTGTGTCAGGTTCGTATCATGCAAAGATATTGTGTTGTCCTGTCGTGTTCACTCACAACTGGGAAGCAAAGTGGCGGCTGTTGTTGTGAACGGAACTGACGAAAAGTAGGCAGCGGTTTGAGAATATGGTGTAATGCCGTAACCTTATCACCGTGCGCTTGTCTTAGGCTCACGGAAGAACATGTTGTGGCAAAGCGAGCGTTGTGCTGACACTACACTACCCGTCACGACCGTTAGCATGATCTTGATTGACTACGTCTGGCGAGCTGAGTTCCATCCAGATCAAGCGTATACAGCCACGACTCAGGCGTATCCTTGTATTCACAATCGTAATCCAGATGTATCGTTGTGAGAGAAGATTGGCAAGTATCGTGCGAAAAAGAGATCCGCACATGATACACAGGACGGAACAGATAGCGGAGCTAAATACACCGCATGTTTCCCTGTACCTAAGTATCTTCCTTTGCGAGTCTTGTTGATCATGTCCGTCTGTTTGTTCATTTAGCTTAGGCGCAAAAGTGCCTTCTGAATGCAGCAGAACCTTTTTAGCTGTTTGACGATACATTCGTGCGGTGCATATCTGAAGCTGATCGCAGTACTGTGTGATTGTTGGCTGCTGATAGTGATGCACGTGTTCGCAGGATATTCGCTACGGTGTGGAGCTCTACGAGGGTGTTTCACCGTCATATCCTCATGTACTGACAAACTAAAATGGTTTACGCACCTTTCAAACAACTTCTACAGTAATGCTGCTTGCGTTCGTTGGCTAGGAAAGCAGAAAGGGCATAAGGACGTATCTCGGGTCATCATTGCTTGCCCGACATAGCGACATATGAAGCTGTACACATGTCCGACAAGAACTGTCGTGAATGCAACTGTCAAATTGCATACCCGTCGACATGAGCGCTACGATCGTGTGTCCGTCGCGATTCACACACACTTGCTTACGTACCAAGATGCTCACGAATAAAGCGGCTGTAGTGACTTAGCCTTGTGAGTTCTCAACTAGTGACAGTTGTATGATACAGCAGTGACCGGTATGACCTGTCACCGCAGACAGGTGTTTCTGCTTTTCATTTAGTCGGTGTGAGTTTCATAATTTCGTACAGCGTCAAAAGTCGTCAATAGTCGCTAAAATTTAGCTGGCAATAAGCCCGCGAGGTCAAAATCCGTGACAACTTTGGTCACGTCGAGCAATCTGCCACCAACCAATTTCTAGTAGGATCAAACAGAACCACACGGCTTGCTTGCCTTTGAGCTATCGGCTCGGAAAAGCCCATGTTGTGCTGCTCTCTTGCACATGAGTTTGATAATGTTGTGAGCTTCGATCAGAATGTGATTGATAGCAGGCGGCAACTTTGTTTATGAGTGCGGGTTCGAATAGCGCAGCCATCAGCGCGTGTGCTGAACGTGAAAGCTAACTTGTCAGTAGCGACTTTCTGCGTCTCTGTGTGTATACGTTACTGTGTACCTGCAAACATGCATCAACTTTCGTACACTTGTGGCACCTCAAGAGAGCAGAAACGAAAGAAGCTAATGGTCGCCTTTCTAGCTGAGCCGCATGAAAAGCTATCTCCACTCTCTCATTACGCATCAAGCGATCCCGTGTTGTTGCCGTTCACATTGTGTTCTTTCTGTCGTCACACTGGCAAGATCAGCCTTCATCTATCGCACTCTATCATTACACATCATTGACACCAGCAAGTTGCGTCATCCACAATGATACGAGTACCATTGAGGAGTTCTCACACCTCAAAACGCACAACGCATTGCTACGCAACGAGCTCTGACCATTCAAAGTACTAACGTGCACGCTCAGACTTGATTTTATTCTCTGGACTAATACACGTTTACCAATGGCCAAAACACCCAAGAGCTTGCTCGTCTACCTTATCATCCATAAGCGTTTATAAGTCGAACGAGTAACAACGACACCAACAAAGATGACCTTTTCTCCATTTCAGAAGCGCGCTCTGTAATCGTGCGTAGCACTATTTACAGGCAGGACCAAAAAAAGATGTGCGTGATTTAGAAAGGCTCTGTTTGTCTACTTAAACAGGCATAATTAAGAACCAAACGTCAACACGAAGGCCCGGACACCAAAGTATACAAGAGGCTCGTCAAACGGAACCAGTCAACGAGACCCCCGTCGCCACCTCATCACACACGCTATCCAACCGCGCGATCTCTACCGCAGCACTATGGCCGTCCCCGCCCCCGCAACGATTGCCCGTCCAACCGGCGAGACCCTGCGCGGCAAGCAGAAAGAAAAGGACGTGCGAATGTCCAACATCATTGCTGCAAAAGGTGCGTCCGTCCTCCTTTCATGATTCACTTGTGCCGTCGCCTTTCGAATCCTAACGCTGCGACCGTAACTGTATTTCTAACCGTATTTCTATCGCCACCAGCCATCGCCAACGCTATTCGCACCAGCCTCGGACCCCGTGGCATGGACAAGATGATCCAGCAGAGCAATGGAGAAGTGATCATTTCGAACGACGGCGCGACGATCTTGAGCCAGATGCAAGTGTACCACCCAACAGCGAAGATGCTCGTGGACCTGTCCAAGTCACAGGACATTGAAGCTGGAGACGGCACCACGAGCGTCTGTGTGATCGCTGGCGCCCTTCTGGGTGCCTGCGAAGACCTCCTGCTCAAGGGCATCCACCCGACCAACATCTCGGAAGCTTTTGGCCTTGCTGCAGTCAAAGCCGAAGAGATCTTGACGCACATTTCGAAGCCCGTGGAGCTCGCGAACCGTGAAGAGCTCATCAATTGTGTCAACACGTCGCTCTCGTCCAAAGTCATTTCCGAGTACGCGGACCAATTGTCGCCGATTGCCGTCGACGCTGTGCTCAAAGTAATTGACATTGCCACGGCCACGAACGTGGACTTGAACGCCGTGCGCGTCGTGCAGCAGCTCGGAGGCACGATTGACGACTCGGAGCTCGTGGACGGACTTGTGTTCAGCAAGGGCTTTGACAAGACGGCGAGCAGCACGGGCCCTACGACGATAGAGAATGCGAAGATTGCGCTCATCCAGTTTTGTCTGTCTGCACCAAAGGCAGACATGGAGAGCAACGTGGTGATCAACGACTACGCTGCGATGGACCGCATCTTGCGCGAGGAGCGCAAGTACATTTTGAACCTCTGCAAGAAGGTGAAAAAGTCGGGCGCGACTGTGTTGCTGATCCAAAAGAGCATCTTGCGGGATGCGACGAACGACTTGTCGCTGCACTTTTTGGCCAAGATGGGCATTCGTGTGATCACGGACATTGAACGCAACGACATTGAGCACATTGCTACGACGCTGGGGTGCCTGCCTGTGGCGAACATTGAGTGTCTGACGCCCGAGAAGCTTGGCACGGCGGGGCTGGTGCAGGAAGAGACGGTGGGCGGCCACAAGGTCGTCAAGATCACAGAGGTTGTACACCCGGGCAAGACCGTGTCGATTCTTGTGCGCGGTTCCAACAAGCTGGTTCTTGAAGAAGCTGGGCGATCTCTACACGACGCTCTGTGTGTAGTACGCTCGCTGGTCAAGAAGCGCTTTTTGATTTGCGGTGGTGGTGCACCTGAAATCCAGGTGGCTCAGAAGCTGGCTGCCTACGGCCGCACACTGGAAGGCACGGCTAGCTACTGCTTGCAGTCGTTCGCTGATGCAATGGAGGTCGTACCGTACACACTGGCAGAGAACGCTGGTCTCCACCCGATCGGCATCGTGACGGAGCTGCGCGCGAAGCACGCGCAGGGACACACGAGCATGGGCATTAACGTGCGCAAGGGCGCCATTAGTGATATGTATGAGCTCAACGTGCTGCAGCCCCTCCTTGTGAGCACGAGCGCGATCTCGCTGGCCACGGAGTGCGTCCGCATGATCCTCAAGATTGACGACATCGTGATGGTCCGGTAAACAGGTCGCTATTCGATGCGGTACTGCTTGGGCTGTGGAGAGAGTGGCTGCTGTGTGTGTTTGCATACCTTTCGGCGACGAATGGCATGCACGTGTTCTGAAGCGGTGAAATGAACGCACTGAAGCTGAGATCGTACGCACCTGTTTTCGTCTCGACTGTTGTTGTTGTATGAAGCTGTGCTTGTTTGCTCTTCACTTTGTAGCTGTCTTATGTCCCAAACAGGCTGCCTGGAGATCTGCACAGCTGGTAAACTACGTTTGATTCGCAACGTGTGCGGCGGAGATGAGTGCAAGAAAGTGGCCACAAGCTTTTGTGCAATACATTCGTCCGAGCGACTGCTACTCGCTACGTAGTGGGCAGCCTCGCGGTCAATGTGCATCACATCAGCATAAGTGCTGTCCTCAACACACTCGCACCAGCTACGAACCCGCTCCCCAATGCGAGCCGTCGCAGCACCGCCTAAAGCTGCAACATCGCTGATATCGCGCACCGATACTGTGCGACTCGCTTCCCGAATGTCTGTTTAGTCAGGTATGTTGTCATTTCTTTTGCGTGCGACCTGCACGTTCGCAATGGGACTGTACCTGTGCACTAGACGAGTTCCGTGGGTAAGGTCAAGGAATGGTCAAATGGAAGTGCAGCCGTCCAGGTCGAGCAGTCAATTGCAGGGAATCCTACTGGCTTTGTTCCTCAGTTATGCGACGAGCTGTCCAGCCCTAAAGTCAAGAGCGATGCCAGAGATGAGACATCGCGAACGGATCCACAAAAAAGTACGTGCGTCGGGTCGTTCTTGTGCTTCCGTCGGTAGACGTCAATATGACCAAACGTGTCGAACGTATCGCGTGTTTTCACCACGTCATACACGCGGACAAACAAAATAAACGCAACAGTCGACACGGTACCGTCAAAGCTTTTTCCAATTAACCGCTTCTAGTACATACGCACGCAACAGCACTACACAATGTGTGGTCTCAAGGCCGTCATCTGCTGCTGCTATTCCAGAGGAGTAACGTGCACGCGCGTGTAGAGCGAGCTCTCTACTATCTCAAAGGCGTCGTGTCAATGTGTAAACTTATAAATCACGGGGTTATTTGGCTTACCTAAGCTAACTCGCTCTTGTGTGTTGTGCTCGTCCTCTTCAGCCGATACCGACCATCGACCGACGAGCGTCTTAGAGCGTGACGATCGATATATCCTTTTCCGACAGCGTGTAGCTGTTCGAGCGCTCGCGATTGCGGCGCTTCTTGACAAACACGAGGCCGACAAACGCCAGCACGCAGCACGCGACGCCCACCGCAATGTTGATCGACGCGTTCGAGGCGCCCATGGTCTTGGACATGCCGTGTTGCTCCTGGTTGGACGCCGACAGCTTCACAGACTGGTCGCTCATGGGCGACGACGACGGCATCTTGACCTGCCCATAGGGAGCCATCTCGTCCTGTTCCGTGCCGTTCCATGCCCGCCCGTCGGCTTGAAACACACACTGCCAGGCGCCGCCCTCTTGCAAGACACAATGCGCGTCCACGGGCGCAACGCAGTCGTCGCCAAAGCGAGCGGACGTCGCAGTGCAGCCACTGATGGGCTTATCGTTGCGACGCGGACACGCGCCCGGTGCGCCCTTTGGGTACACATTGGCCAGGGGGTTCCCGCATGCATCGCCCTGGACGCAAAACGTCGCGTCGTCCTTTACCGTCACGCGCGTGCACGGAACATGATCGTCTTTGAACGACAGCAGGTGGCGGCGCGTGGCCGTCCAGGTCTCCATCTCTCTCTCCATCTCTCTCTCTCTCTCTCTATGTCTCTCTCTCTATGTCTCTCTCTCGCTTACAGGTTTGGTAACAACAGCAGTAGTGGTAGTAGTAGAGGGCAGCAGTGGGCAGTCCGAGTAGGCGGTACGTAGGCCGGGTGTCAACTGATTGTCTCACGTGGCAGCAGCAGCAAATTTCGCAATGGCCGCCCCCTTTCACGGGCGTGAGACTCGATCCCCGACCGACCGACCGGCCGGCCGTCCATCTCTGGTCCGGATTCTGCGCTCAGGTCTTCTGCGGATCAGATGCCGCGACGTGCACCTGGCTGTGATTTGAAGCCACACACTGGATCCACTTCGCAGAGGCGACACGCAACATGTAATGCATCGAGCAGCGCCGAAAGTATCGAGCGACAGAGGTTTTGCTCTTCTCGCGCGCACGAGTGGGCTGCGACAAGTGGCGCATGTCGATCGCTCGATGGAGTTTCGCAATGTCGATATACTGACCCCGTCTCGAACCATAGGGTCGACTGCTGCCGGGCGTTCCCATCAGGTTTGCCAGCACCGTCGTCGTACCCATTGCGTTGAGGCAGTCGTTTGGCCGGCAACAGATGGGCCGTGCGTCACTTTCTTGCAGGAGTGAGGGAACAGATCACTGTCGTCGTCTGTTGCTTGGGCGACAGCGCAACGCTCAATGCACTTCGAGCGAGGACCCACCCGACAACAAATGTACGATCGCTTGCCTTACTACGGCGTCTATGGCTGTATCACGGCGTAGTTCTAGTGTCCTTGTGAGTTCAGCTTACCGTACGCCTTTGAGCGATTAGGAGGGAAGAGCGAGCTCGATTCTCGGCTGCGGTGCCATCATCAGCCGTAAATTTGGAGACTGCAGCTGTTCGGAAAGAGCTGGAAGGATCTCGATCGTCCATCGTTCTGTAGCAACCTACACGACAGTATTGACAGCGGGATGGACTAGCGCGTACAGGCGCTCGTGCGTAGAGTGTAAGTATCGAGAAGAGAAGACGATTGTTGATGATGTTGTTTTGTCGGCCCATTGCCAGTGAGTGAGCACAGGGAAGTGGACTGGCGAGTTTTATAGAGCATCGGACCCCTCGCATGTCCACGATGTTTGGCTTCCCAGTTGGCTGGACATAACGCTTCCAGCGGATTGATGGGCTGCGCGTGCACACGTTTACGACACACACTGATACACGCACAATCGCAGCTACACTTGAGTCTGTCCAAGCGACAGACAACGTGCATCGATCAATTGCTTAGGCTCTCGAGGCAGCCAAAGCTGAGGCAACTGCATGCAGCAGCGAGAGGGCAAGCAGTTGATGGCAGGGATACGCGCCAGCGCTGTTCGTGCACCATGAGACTTATCAGACGCGCCACAAACGGTATCTGCACCCTTAGCGAGCGAAGTGGTGTCCTTTCGCCTGCGCCGTACAGCAGAGGCAGTGTCCAGCTACTTCAAGGACACTGGGTGACGCGTGGCTTTTTTGCGAAAGACGCAAATGCTCCTGAGAGGCAGACTCGTGATCTATCACTCTGTACTACTGCCCTGCGCACAGGCTATCGATCAGAAAACCTGCCCGCTTCCATACGATCCATGGGACTCGGCCAGCAGTTGCGAAACGCTAGCGGTAGTCGCTGTATCAGGATTGGTCTTGAATGCTGCATCCGCAACGTCTGGATGCATGTGCAAGTGTATGCAGCCTGTGAAAAGACAGACAGCAGCGCATCTGAGTTACATATGTTCGGCATGGCTCGGGGTCTGGTCCGCTGGAGTTTCCCATGCACTGGTGCCATTCCGTACACCTAGACACGTACCAGGTTTCTGCCACGAACACAGTGCACGTCTGCGTGGATGTAACGGACTGCAGGCAGCGATGAGTTTCGACACGCTCTGCTACGATCGCAAGCCGGTTTGGAGGAACAGAATTGCGCGAGGGTAGATCCAGAGGTCGACTGCTGTACTGCATACAGGTCGGAATAGGACCTGTCGCTGGCCCCGTGCGAGAGGCAGCTGTCTCCCTTGATTGCTATTGTCGTGGTTCCAGAAACATGCAGCCACTGGAGGCAAGACACACAGCGCGTGGGAAGGAGGGAATTGATGGTGGTGTTGAGTGTTGAATGGCTGAGCGAGACCCATCTCAGGAGACTTTGCATCTGACCCATCAGATTCAGTATCTTTCCCTCTGAACCGATCACACCGGTTTGGTTGCGCGCATGTTTTGCACACTATCGGGCGCGTGAGGCCAGAGCAGCTTCCACTTACCTTGTGGGGCTAAACATGACCCGGTACGCGGTAGGAGATTTTTTGTATTGACGAGTGCAGTCAAGGAACCGTGAGATAAACTAGTCGAGTTCAGAATCAATCTGTGACGTTCGTCGCAGATGGCTTCTGCTTTACCTACAAAAGGAGCAGCGCTCCTCTTGCACAATGGCTCAACACGCGCTTTTTTCTTACTGCGAGCCCAATTTAGTCGCACAGGCGTAGATAGAGAGCAAGTGTCATACAAAGCATCAGATATTGGACAAAGATCCTAGATTTTGAACAAATGCTCACGATGTCGTCATTAGGCCGTTTCGATCAACTACGGCGTGCCGGAACATACTATACCATCATCCTCACTTATGACTGCCGCAATCACTCGTATGACGAAACACTCATGTTAGCAAACACTCAGCCAACAACTGCTGACATCACACATAAGGCCATGCTTGTCACACTAAAGCACTAAAACCTGCTTTGTGATAAATGCCGCCCTCGTGCAAGACCGCCTCAATCGTCACCTCTGCAAAACAGAAAAACGTGTATACGTACATACCCACCATTTGGCGACAGCGTTTAGAGTCACAAGCACAGGCTATCTGAACAGCGCAGACAAGCGCTTTGCAAAAAAGACGGCACACGCGATTGTGCTCATTTGTCGTGCAAAGGCTTCACGGTAGTCCAGTCGACGAGCGACGCACGTGATTATGGGCCACGACTAAGCCAAAGCTTGTATTTGTCGGCGTCTAGCGCTGTCACGACGATTATAAACGGTTGGGAGTAGGACGTGTGGGTCCTTCTTCTTGCAAAAAGTAGGCAACTATGGCATAAGCGGGGGTCGCTTCCTGTACCGGATTTTTGTGCATACAAGCATCGCATTCTTGTTCGCTAATCAATGAGGTGGTAGACCCGCCTTGACAGCAAGATACATCACCGAGCGGGACGCTAATTTTAGTAGGAACACGGGCACATTCGATTTGACGGCATCGTCTGACTGATAAGGCCAATCTGAACTCATCCGCGCACCTACTTGCCGCGCGGCTGCTAGCTGCTACATTGCGACAAGTGACCGCGTTGTATTCTTGCTGGGCGGCAAAGCTATCAAGAAAGTGACTGCGCGATTCGTTAGCTGTGGGAACGTGAACAGGGAAAGGGTACAGCCCTCTCCTCGCCATTCGTTCGTCTACCTCTTCATTCGGCTTATCATAGTGGGTTGCGCTAGCTGCAGCCCTAGACGTCTGACGCTTTCGTTGCTTGTAACGTCAAGCCCGCCCATTTGTGTTGGGAGTCGATCTTTGATATATACCACGCATTGTGCTCTGTGTACCTCGGAATGGATAGCAAGTTGACTTATATATGCTTGTCACTCAAAGTAGCCACGAGCATTTTTAATTGCAGACATGAAACCGATGCCGCGCTACAAGGACGGGATCGCTGACGAGTTTTTATCTCAAGAAGTTGGGAAGACGCTCGCTGTGATAGGCGCCTTCTGCATATACGAGCATAACAATATCGCAATCTACACAACAAAGTGTACATTTGTTATGTTATAGTTTTGGTGCAAGTGTCTGCACTTGAACGTATCCATGGTAACAGACACGTGCACAGATTTTACACGTGCACTATTGTCCGAGAAGCGCGGACAAATATACAAAAAGCTTAGTTACAAAAAACAGAAAAGTTACTGAGAATAACCAAAGTTCATAGCTGTTGTGAGATGATTCTACTATCATTGCATCGAGCCTCACGTGTGTAGATAATGTTCGCTTCCCACTCACTGACAACGCGCGTTTGTCGTTTGTTTGTTGGTGCTTTTTATTGGCTGGCGTAATGTCCTGTATGAGCTCATGAACAGTGTGTCGTCATGATGGTACCGAAGACTATTTCTTAGGTCATCAATTCTTTTACACAGTGACATTGTTATCTACAACCCGCCTAAATAATTTCTACTTCGACATAGCATCGATATTAATGCCATGCACAAGGGGCTTTCCCATTTTCATATTTCAAAATTTGACCAAAACTATGAAAATGACTAAGATAGTCATCATGCGTAACCACCTTTTGGTCATTCTAGAGAGCGGAGAGATTCGTCGATGCGATCCATTTCTTACGATATTCCCCTATCGCATGGATCGTATCGAATCATCGTGTTACGCGGCGAAGGCCACTCGAGGCACGGCTGCAAGGCTACTTGTATCTGCCCCTATGTTGACCACGACAAACGTGACAATGATAACTTCATTTATGTTATACATGAAAATTGAGACCATTTGGTTCTACTTAGCACTCGAATGAACGAAATCAGGGTACATCCTCAAAGCTAACGGGTATCGAGTCACCAGCCATTGTGATCGAAGTAGAGTGTTGGTTTTGTCAGGGCGATACAGCCTTGACGTCGTCTTGATCAACTTACGCACTGAACATGATTTTGGCATTGGTGTCTGCATCAGACATTATGTAAAAGCAGCTGACGTAAGCAACATGGTGATTGTGACAAAACACGCTGATGCAAGCCCAATATACAGGTTTTCACGTTGTTGAATGCGTCGGTCGCGAGGCTTGTGTGACAAGAAATATGTGGTACAAGTACGAAGCACGATCACTAGCCTATGAAAGGTGTACATTACATCGGCTGGTACGAGAAACTGGCTTGCTATCCCTATATCGGAGAAGATCATGTCTACGCTGTGTAAACAGCTCAGACCGTGCGATCAGAGATAATTTCCTCTTCCATAGG